CAGATTCTGTGTCTCCCTCTCTGCCCCTCCCCTGCTCACGCTCTATCTCTCTCTGTGTCTCAAAAATAAATATTAAAAAAATTTTTAAAAACAATTTAAGTCATCTCCACAGCCGATGTGGGGCTTGAACTTACAACCCTGAGATCAAGAGTTGCACACTCTTCCAACTGAGCCAGCCAGGTGCTCCAAAACACCTCCAGTTCTAAGTCTTCCTCAAAGAACCCCAGGGTCCCCAGAGCTTCCCTCCCTCCCAGGAACTTCACATATCCCCTGCTCCTTCAGCCCAGAGATCTGGAATAACTCAATAGTGTTTTTGTGTGCCATGTTTATTTGGGAGCAGTGGTGGAGAAAAGTCTGACATCTCAGGGAGAGCACTCTGGATCTGTATCTCGGTGGGAGGAGGAATAAGGTGCTGGGTAGGCATCAGGAATGACTGGATCCAGGCATCAGGTTGTTGACTGCTGTGGTTTGGGCTCATTTGTAATATGGCCTCTGTGTGTTGAGGTCACTGTAGACATCTGACCTCTGACCTTGGAGCTCCTAATGGGAGGGACAGGGTGGGAACCATTAGTGGAAGAGGTACACTGAATAAACTTAAAACAAAATTCAGCCTTCTCCCAGTGGCCTGTAAAGCTCCTAGCAGCTTCGTCCGCCTTGCAGCCATGGAAGAGATCTGGATTTTAACCAAGTGCAGTCTTTCCCTTCCTGCTCTGCCTCACCATCATGTCCCAGCCTCAGGGCCTTTGTGTGTGCTGTTCTCTCTGCCTAGAACACAGGTTTCCTAGATATTCCCATGGATGGTTCCTTCTCCACCTGCAAGTCTCAGCTCATGTCACTTCCTCAGAGAAGCACTTCTTGATATACCCCATCTCATTTCTCCCCTCCACACGCACACCCCAGTCGCTGCCACACCAGCTTTATTTCCCTCATGATACTTCCCCCAATGATATTATGTTAATTTGCTTCAAGTCCATCTCTCCAACTAGTACGTAAACTGTTGCTGTGTAGGTGCTCAACAAATTCTACCAAAGGATAAATAAATTAGAATAACGCTTTCCCCCAAAATTTCATCGCCCCCGGTAACTGAAAATCTCCCTCATTCTTCTGGACCTCATGGAGCCAAACTCAAGATTCTTACACCTTACAAAAAGACGTTTTAATCCACAAGGGAAGCAGAGCAAAGCTGGCTGCAGGTAAGTAAGAGATTTCATAGAACAAGGCTCACAATTGAGGGGGAGGTTTATGGTCCAAAGAGACAGACTTCAAACTGAATCCCTGAAATCATATGCAAACGACTGGTCTGGGTGCACACCTCGATGGGAAGGGGTCTGTTCAGCTTCCATTAGATTCTCACAGGAGCCCATGACCCCCAAAAGGGTTGAGAGGGACATTGACAGAGAGGCAAGAGAAGGAGAGATGCCTCTGTCTGCACGGTGGTTCTTAAGAAGGGTTTCAAGGGGGGCGCCTGGGTGGCTCAGTCGGTTGGGCGGCCGACTTCGGCTCAGGTCACGGTCTCGCGGTCCGTGAGTTCGAGCCCCGCATCGGGCTCTGGGCTGATGGCTCGGAGCCTGGAGCCTGCTTCCGGTTCTGTGTCTCCCTCTCTCTCTCTGCCCCTCCCCCGTTCATGCTCTGTCTCTCTCTGTCTCAAAAATAAATAAAATGTTAAAAAAAATTTTTTTTTAATTAAAAAAAAAAAGAAGGGTTTCAAGGGTACTTGTGCCGCCCCTAGATTATATGTACAATTTTGTAAATTTTTGTGTGGATTTTCTGAGGAATCTCTAGCTTTCATCAGCTTCTCAAAGCGATACAGGATCCCTCCTTCCAAAAAATTCTAAAACTCCTCTCTTCAGAGTTACCGAATTAGAGCTGAATTATATCCTCTTGCCCTTCTAAGAGCTTCTCCCAGAAATCATTCTGTCCTGAACAATTCAGTGCCTGCCTGAAGGTTAAGGCCTGCATTTGCCCTTGCAAAGGTAAAGCCATCCCTGGGTTTTCTCACACATTTTAAGTTGTGCATAAGGTCATGATTGATCACTGAAAGCCCTTGTGGACAGATCATGAAAGCCCCGTTAGTCTTTGAGGGTTTGAAATGTTGCTGAGAAAGTGGCTTTAGGGTCTAGGTCCTAAAGGGACTGGGGAGGTGTTTAGGACAGACGTGCACAGGGTAGGAGTGAGATGTGAGAAGCTGGGTTTCTCACCTGATATGGCGACTCTGTCTCCGTAATGCGCTGTTTCCTGGTCACTGCTGGGGGATGGGGAGTAGTGCAGGGTGCAGAGACAGTTAAGGTTGTGAATCAGGACAGTTTTGTCCCTCCATCAATGTCCCTTTGGATGGTCATGACTTGGGAGCTTACCCCTCCCTGACAGGCAAGTCCTCAGAGGGGCCCAGGCTCTCCCCTGCCGGCCCCACTCACCGTCCACAGCCCCTCGCCCCCGAGGGAACAGCCGGCCCAGGGAGTACACAGCCAGGGAGATGAGGAGGGTCAGTACCAGGTCCCCCAGCACGATCCCCGCCAGCACACCGGGACTCACCACGGAGCAATTGCATTCTGAGAATGTGGCACAGGGGTTGTGGGGGCGGTCAGTGGGAGTTGGGAATTGGGAGGAGGTGTCAGCAGGGGTAGGTTTGGAAAGACTGGGGAACAGAGATGGGGAAGTCTTTGGGAGGCAGGGAGGGGAATTGCAGGGTCTAGGCCTACCGTTCTGTGCCTGGGCAGGGCTAAAACCTGAGGAGAGAAAAAGAAGGTAAACTGAGGCCTGGGGCTGTGACTGCAGGGTGGGCACAGAAGGCTGGGGAGGCTGGGTCCTGATAGCTAGGAGATAAGAGTGGAGAATGATGTCTGGTGGGACCTGTGGGTCAGCGTCAAGGCCACGGGACTGTATTACTTTTACCCTGACCTGCCCTGTTGCAACACCGTTAGAGTCCCCCCACCCCCGCTTCTGCCAGAGGCCAGATCTTGGGGGCCCAGGCTCTGGGAGAGACCCACAAGTTTTAGGGAGCTGGGGATCTGCTTCCCTCCACCTCCCTTTTGATTCTCCTTCTACCCTGGGCTCTACCCTGCTCTCTGCTCTGCTCCAAGCTGAGCCCAGGGACGGGGGAGGCAGTTGCAGAAGCCCCCAACTCACCACCCACAGTCAGGAGGAGAGGCAAGAACAGGAGCCTGTTGGAAGGTCCAAGGACCCCCATGACGCAGGTGACGCTGCTGGACACCAGAGTTCAAGGGCCGGTGGGATATGGTGTAGCGTCCAACCAAGTGAAGGAGGAAGTCTGAGGTGGGTGGTGGCAGGAGGGAGGAGGGGACAAGACAGGAGGAGGGACAGAGACAGATAACGCCAGAAAGAATCAGGCCAAGACGCTCCAGGGGCCATGCTATAGCCCCTAACTACTGGAACGTAAAAGGAAATGTGCCAACCCACCCCCACTCAGGGGTCAGCCATCGGCGTAACGGGAGAGTCAGTAGCTATGATTGCCGTCAGCATTGCCTCTTCCTGGCTGGGCAGCCTTGAACAAGCCATTCAACCTCTCTGGGCCTCAGTTTCTTTATCTGTAAAATGAGGAGTAAAATAGTCCCTATTTTGTAGGGGTCTATGGGGATGGAATGAATTAATGTTTCTAGAACAGTGTCCCACACTTGTCAGCTTTTTATAAGCATCAGCTATAATTATTTGATACTCAGAGCCTTGTGATGTTTACAGGATATTAAAAGAGAGCCATCAGGATATGGGCACTAATGAGCCGCAGGCACTCTGTCCTAAGTGTTAACTCATTTAACCCCCACAGCACCCTTCTGAGGTAGACGCTCTTATCCCCATTTTACAGAAAGGTAAAGACACTTGCCCAAGGTCACACAGGAAATAAAGGTGATAGTGAAATACAGGACCCAGGGACAGATATTTGACCCTTAGAAGAGAAAGAAAAAAAGAACCAAGACGACAGAAAGATAAGGAAGGAGAAAGAGATGGCGAGGCTGAGAAAGAGAGAGAGAGAGAGAGAGAGGCAGGCAGTGACACCAAAACACACAGCACGGACACAGGATTGGGCGTTTGGGGTGAGGCAAGTGGGGGGACAACATGGTGACCACTGGGCCAGGCTGGGCTGCCCCACCAAATGAGGAAGTAGCTGGAAGTGAGGACAGAGGGAGGGCACCCAGGGGGAGACAGGGACTTCTAGGCCCCTACAGGAGCCTGAGCTGGGACTGACTGGCTAGGAGGAACCTGAGGTTAAGGCACCGGGGGGATGGGCCAGCGGCAGGAAGCCCCCCTCCCCCATCCAGGCGTCACACCCCGCAGCTCCCTGGGCCTGGGCTTAGGAGAGAAAAGGGGAACCTGGATGCTGGTCATGGGACAGGCTCCGAGTGGCCCTTTGTGGTGGGGGGATTTGGAAGCCAGAGGAGGGTCAGGGCCCAGTCCGAGGGAGCACCGGCTGCTGACAGCCTCCATCGCCCAGGCCTGGCCAAGTCTCCAACACCCCCGCCCCTACCACCGCCAGGTCTGGAGTGAGCACGGAGAGAAGAGGCGAGCTGTGGAGGCCCTTCCAGCAGCACACTAGGCCTCAAGGTGGCCGAAGCTGAGCGAGCCGTGGTCTCAGTCAGCGACCACAGGAAGCTCTCAGCCTGGAGGGTCTTGAATCAGGCGTTTGTGGGCTCCCTCTGGCTGGGCAGGGGGAGCACACTGCAGGGGGCAGGGACCAAAGCAGGGGCCAGGCTGCCGCTACAGTCCAAAATATTGAGAGGATTTTGTGACGTCTACCGGAATAATGCCCGCGTGGCACCCTGTATGTGCTCAGTGAATATTCATCACTATCCTCATCATTACAGTTATGTCATCGGTACTTCAAGTCTCCAGTTCCGGGCTCCTCTTGATGAAAGTCCTCCCTCCACCCCTCAAACTCAGCCCCGCAATCCGGTCCTCCCGGCTCCAGCCAGGCCTGAGCCGTCCCCGGAATCCAGTCTGACGGCGCGCTCATGCACCATCCAATCAGGCAGCTGTGGCCCTTGGGCTGGTGCTGGGTCCGAGTCCCAGAGCCTCCCCTTTCCACTGCTGAGATGTGGGGAAGTCCGAGCTCTCCCAAGGGAACTGACTGAGTTAGTGGCAGATATTTGTGGGAGGTGGGGTAGAGGCTCTTTACCAACCAGAAGTGAAGTATTTCAATATTTTAGCATCTGGTATGATTGCACCGGTAAGGACCGCAGGATGCTGGCCTGGGCTGGTCGGGCTGGGCTCTCATGGGTGGGCGAACCATTGAGTGAAAGAAGGCCGTGATGGGGGGCACCCAGCTGACTGCGAGCCACCCTCACAGGGTGCCAGACTCCAGGAAGTGGGGCTGTTTCACCCTCCCTTGAGATCTGTAAAATGTCTCAATGTCTCCTGGCAGAAGCCCAAGCATTGGGCAAGGCGCACACTGACTTTGCCAGAAAGCAGGCAATGTGTCTAGCCTGTGACAAGCTTGCCTCTGTGGAAGATACACCCCCTCCTCGCTCTCCTTGCTTCCACTTTTGCCCCCTACAGCCCATCCTCCCCATAACAACCAGAGCAAACTTGTAAAAAAACCATTTTTTTTAATGTTTATTTATTTTGGAGGCGATGCAAGAGACAGAGTGCAAGCAGCGGAGGGGCAGACAGAGGGAGACGCAGAATCCGAAGCAAGCTCCGGGCTCTGAGCTGTCAGCCCAGAGCTGGACGCGGGGCTCAAACTCACGAACCGTGAGATCATGACCTGAGCCCAAGTCAGACACCCAACCGACTGAGCCACTCAGGCGCCCCGGAGGAAGCTTTTTTGAAAAGGCAGAGAACCAGTTTTGTAAATGGCCAAAATATTAGAACAGATAATGTCACAGAAGAAGGGATGTGAACGGCCCATAAGCCTGTGAAAAAGCGTCCAACATCATTAGTCATTAGGGAAACACGAATTAAAACCACAATGAAATACCACTACACATCCGCTGAAATGACTAAAATTAAAAAGACTGACCCTGGGGCGCCTGGGTGGCGCAGTCGGTTAAGCGTCCGGCTT